CTCATGGGGGTCCCTGGTTATGAGGGGCAGGGGGGTCACCTGGGGGTTCCTGGTTATTGGGGGGCGGGAGGTCACCTGAGGGCAATAGGGAGGCATTTGGGGGGCAACAGGGGAGGGTCCCCGGTTGTGGGGGTCACGAGGGGGGGGCCCTGGGGGAGCGGAGAGGGAGGGCCCTTGGAGGGCAGGAGCAGGGAGAAGCCCCCAGCAGTGCTCTGCGGGGACATGCTGCAGCCGGCGAAAGCAACTCCGTCGGGCTCCACCTGCCCAGCTGCCATTGTTCCCCGTCTCCTTGCCCGGTCGTTATGGAGGGGAAGAGCAGAGGCTGCACGAAGAGGACAGGGAAGGCGACTGACCCGCCGGGAGGTGGCAGCTGCCCTGGCTGGGGATCAAGGCAGCCCCTGCAGCGCAGACCGGGAGCGGACTCGTGCCAGGGGCCTGCTGGTGCTGGTGCTGGTGCTGGCACTGACCGCGCGGCCCGCTCGGGGAGCAGGAGAGGCGCGCTCTCCTCCTGCTGCCGGCAGCCCCCACGGATCAGGACAGGCACGGATAATGCACACAGAGCAGCTCTCGCCCACGCCGCTGACCGGACCTGCGCGGTCGCGCACGTCTGTGCCTTGTTGTTTATATCCCCCAAGCCGCCAGATCACCCTGCCTTTTCTTGGCACGTTTCGCCACTGCAGTGTGAAGGAGGTTAAAGCAGCGAGAGGGATCTTATTTAGGCCACGTTACAGATACGCCGCGTTGGTTTAACTTGACGAAGTCTGACGAGAGCTTCGGAGGTTAGAATTTCATTCTTTGACTATTTCAGGCCCCTTCAAAGAGAAAATCTTTAACATCATAAATCACAGTCCTGGGAGTTTTAATCTAAATAAAACTTAAGGTTTTGACCCATTAATATTCTGTATGAGAAAAAAAAAGGCTGTACAGAAGAGTAAACTCAGAAACAGAGCTGGGTTTTTTTTCCCTTGTAATAATTATGAGCAATATCTCAAACTCAGCAATCTTAGACCATTGAGCTGTGTAGTATGAATGTGCTAATTAATCAGTTACTATCCAACAACATACCCTGTTTATTTACTGTAATGTACTACATGTGTGTAGAACCAGTAATTATTAATCATCGTCAGTAACAAATTTGACTCAAGTTCACCTTCTTATAATTAATAGAGCATATAGTTAGCTTTAATATCTTTCTTTATTAGCAGAAACAATGACTGAAAAGAAAGTGGGACCTGATGTTGTGGTTCATTGAAATGTGGGTTGGACTAATGTATTATACTCTACCAACACTACCTTGCTAGTGTAGTTCATGGTCAGTTTACATTTTAACCCCAATACATGTACTTGTAAATTTATGCTGAATTGAAATCTGGTGAACATACCCCGGCATAAGTAGTTCTGATTTTTAAAATAGATTAGCTTGGAGTTTTGAGAGATTTCACAGCTGTGGATTTAAATGCTTGTGTGGCTCTTTCTTTTAAAAATGCATGGAGAGGAAAAAATAATTCAATAGCTGTTTGGAGAGCAGCCTTTCATTCACCGAATAAATGTATTTATATCTATCTGTGTAAGTCCACAGCATTTATTACCTCTTGCAGGAGGCAGCACTTGTGTTTTCACACAATCAGCAAAACATTTCAAGTTAAAAAGATGCAAGGGATTGGCATTTTATTTTCTATTATTTAAAGCTGAGGTCCAGATAAAAAGCCAAGTGTTTTGTGGTATCCATGTGAATATCTTTCATTTAGGAAGAACAAGCCACCTGGACAATACTGGACAATACGGCTGCATAACAAAAAACAGCTGTAAGATTAAGGTCTCTGTATTTTTTTTGGAATACATTGCATTTTTGTATCATTTTGGTAAAAAAACAAAACAAAACAAACCATTGAAATGCATGTCACTTCTCAGCAAGCCTTGAAGTGAGGATCATGGAGATCATAGGCAGACTGAACCGTCTGCTGCATGGGAGAGCAAAGCAGGGCTTGCTGCTGCCATAATTAATATCCAATATACGTCTGCGTATTGGTTACTGGAAGTTTTTAAAGGCAGTTTAATAAACACTTGTCTGGAGCAGTTTAGAGAGAGAGGATCCTGCCTTGAGCATTGGTTTGAACTAGACTGGCTGCTTTTTTGAGGTCCGCTTCAGCTCTGGTCTTCTATAGTTCAGGTATGTTGCTTAGGGAGGGATCCACCAAGGGACCTAGACACTGCAGTGCTGATGATCACTGCAGAACCTACATTTAGGTCAGGTGTCAGCAATCTTTTAAGGGTAGCAGACAAACATAATGCAGGCTGGTACAAAGGTGGGCTGCCACCACTGCTTCTGCTGCCACCAAATTGGTGACTTAACTTGCAACCTGGCTGCATCTCCCCTCCTCTCTTGCAGGTAGTGCCCTAATTACAGTGCTCTCCTTTGCCCCACTAAATATTTAAGTATTCAATGTAAAAATGGAACAGCTTCAACAAGGAGGAAGGTGACTATCCCTACCATACCTCTGCACAGCTTAAAGCCTGGCGGGGGACACTTGTGGGAGATATAAATTTAAATCCTCTCCAACTGAGGAAAAAATTAAAGCCAACCTCTCACGTGCCAGTCTAGTGCCCTAACTGCTGAGTTGTATAACAGGGGGTTCATCATCCTCTTCTCACACGGTTTTGCACAGAGGCTGATGTTTTAGGTGTACCCAAAGCATGTCTGCAGTAGGAAGCAACACAAGCAGGGAAATGCTTAGTTTATAACCTCCGAGGCTTAGATGCAAGATGGGAATCGAGCTGCTCAGCACCGTCAACACCGAGGTGCTTGTTCACATGTCCTGAACTTTGAGCACCTGGAGAACTTTACTAGTGAACAAGTAGGTGCATTAGGCAGCAGGATTTTAGGAGGGGATCCGTTTGGGACTACACCACCTAGAGTGGGAGTTAAACAGGACTTAGGAACTTGCAGCCTTTTGGCATATAGCCCTAGGTGCATGATTTACCAAGATGCAACTTTGTACTGTTGTGTTTTACAATGCAATATAAAAAAAAAATTCCTATACAATATAAAAAATATTTTGGTTTTTTTAACAGGTTTTGAAATAGGACAGATTATTTTGTGTACCTGAGTCAAAGGCACCAAATACCCCAGAAACTAGCAGTTTAAGATCAGTAACAGCTATTGTCCTCCTCCATCAGGAGTAATAAAGTTTCACAACCATGAAATAGATTGTTTCAGTGAAAAATAGTCTTCATTTTGAAGGCCTTTCTGAAGAGATTTTGCTTTCTACCCACAGAACAATATAATATTGTTCCAAAATATGTTCTTGTACTTTTATACTCATTTTTACCCAAAAACACAAAACTGCTTTGCAGATATTAAAAGTCTCACAACTATACATTGTGTGTGCAGTATGAGTCACATTTTACAGATGGGGAAAATGAAGCCCGTATCCTCAAAGACATATGAACAAGCTTAACTCATGTCGAACAGTCTGATTAACCTCATTTGGATTATTCGCAGCACATAAAATTAAACCTGTGCACAAGCTACTAAAGAAGTAGGGCCTGAGGGAGAGTTTAAATTATTTGCTCCAAGTTATACAAAAAAATAGGGTGGAAGTCAAATTTGGAACTCCTGGTTCCCAGTTCCTTGCTGTAATCATTAGCTGACTGTTTCCCAAACGGACGCATCAATATATTATTGCATCATCTGTAGTGCAAATGCAATACTTCCATGAAGTATTTGCTCTCATCAAGTGAGGAGCTCCCAATGCTATTCCATTCAGTACCATCATTTCAAGTAAAGTATTTTACACATCACCGCACAACGACATTGTTACAGCACCGTGCTTTAGTACTTCCTTTTGGAAGTAACTGCCTGTACTGTGCCGTGTGCATGGTGCACAGTTAGATTTTGCCAATACTTCGCTGTAGCGGCATGCTAAAACGGGGCAGTGCGCCACTACGGGGAAGTACCTGTCAATCACGTGTACTCATGTGATTGCTGTATCACCATATGGCGACATAACGCGTCACTACAGCAATGCAGGGCGCTGAGCAAATGCATCCTATAAGAAATAAATGAAGTATCTTTATCACATATGCTGAATTGTCAATACATAAATCATCCCATTTATTCAGGGCTTATGTCAGGAGGCCCCAACTTAGCGACACTAATACTGCAGACATTTACCTTTTTTCAAGGCACATAGTTGAGTTCTGAAATCTGTTTGAACTCTTCTGTCTGTAGGATATGTTAGGTGAATGTATTCATACTAGCAGCTCTGCCAAGTCAGAAGCTCTGAATTGTATTTTAAACAGCCTACACCTTCTGCAACTGCACCACCAACCCATTTCCCAGCTTGTAAGGCAACTCTGTCTCCTTCTAGTAAATGTCCCACAGCAACTCTTGGCTCTGGAGTCCCCCTGCCCCAACACTTGCCTACTACCTGTTGAGTTCTCTTCTGGCATCTGAGAAGTACCCAACCTCAAGTGTCCTTTCATCTGCCGATCCTGCTTCTCCCATGCCTTACTCTTCTGCAAACCTAGATCACGGTGATCGTTCATATAACTTTATCCAAAGGAACCATTTTTTCCAGGTAAGGGGAACAGAGGAATGTAGTGGTGTGAGCTTGGGACTAAATGCACCTAAATGTGACTACGTTATAACGACATGTATAACGTATGACACAACACATATTTCATTGGAAATTGGTAGTTCAGCCCATAACCACCATAATGCTGAAAGAACATTTTTGACACCAGCAGCATGCAAGTTGAATGTGACAGACTAAAATCATTTCAATCTTGCCATTGACTCAAGGCTCCAAAATGCTAATAGTAATTAAAAACTACTCCAGTAGATTTCACTCTCTCTCACCAGAGGACTTTCAGATCGCGTGTGCTAAGCAAGAACAGGTACCGTTTTCTTTTGTCAGACCAGAACAAAGGCATAAGGAGGTAGAGGGTTTCATTTCCACCTAGGACACAGCGATCTATTAGAGTGCCAGTGAACTAATGAGCCTCTCAGACCTTATGTTGTTCTGGCTTGGATCAAGACTTCTTTTTAGCCCTTAAGAAAACTGCTAACTCTCAGGTTGATAAAACACTTGGGAAATGACCTCCCACCCCAATATACACAGTGTTTTAGTGACCAAATGGGAATGCTACACTGTGTATAGGTGAGGCTTGGTGAGAAATCTAGCAATGGCCTATTTTAGCAGGAAGCAAGTACAGAGGTAGCATGCCTTGGCTGCAGTGGGGACAAAGCTGGAAGAGCTTATCCTCAGCACCAAAGGAGAACAAATGGCAATTCTTTTTCTCAATGATTAATAAGCAAGTAGCGCAGCATTCTTAGCAATGTCTTTTGATAACTGACTCCTTGCAAGTGACAGATCAATGCTGTACCTACCACAGGCAAGGGACATGCTGCTCTCATTTCCAGCTGCAGTGAAAAAAAGCCTTCTAGAAAGGAAGTTTGTTGGCTGAATTCCAGAGCAGAAAACCTACACGTGGTGCTAGTGCATCCAAAACCAAGTTTTTATTAAAATTATGTGACAAAAAAGACCAAGTGATTTTACAGTATGTAAATTTCGATTCTTATCTAAGCATTTATGTGGAAGTTCTTGCTTGCATCTTTAACTACCTCGTCAACCAACGTGGAAATACAAAGGTTGATACAGGAGATTATGTACTGACTTAATGGATCCTGGCACACGTGCACTTTGGTTAAACCTGCATTTGTAAAAAGAGAATACGGATATCCTGTAACTGCATAGTAAATGCCATTACTGCCTTGAAAATCCTGGCTTGGCTTGAAATTTTTGAGCAGTAAGTTGGAAGAGACTTGGCATATTCAGGGGATAATACACTCAATCTGCAGGAGGAAATAAATTGTAAACTACAAGCCAGAGCACCGTCTGCCAGTAAGATAAATATTACAGCCTTGGTTGGCGAGGCAGTTCTTCCCCTGTCCACTACCATCCTGTCCTGTCGGCAATGACAAGGGACTTGATGCTAAAGAAATATTTTACCACTTACCTCCAAATTATTTATATCAATTCTAGGTGGATAAATATAGTTTTGAGGAGAGGAAAAGAATCCTTTTCAAAACCAAAGGACAAAAAACATTATTCTATGAATCTGGAAATGCTGAGGACAATCCAGAGGATGAGAATAAGGCTAAATGGCTGATATTTAAGATGGGTAAATAAGCAGACACAGTTTCTTACTGGAACCCAGGCAAACTCAGGAAAGGCTGGCCTGGCATGCAGTCAGTGCAGATTTAAAAAATAAAAACACAATTCATGCTCATCAATGTAATTTTATGGGTGACAGTTCTTGTGACACAAAAATCATGTCATTTTTGATGAGACTGATGAGACTGCAAGTTTGGCTGAGACGGGTAACTCTGAGAAGCAAGGGTCCTGAAGGTGCCTCAAGAAGGGCACTCATGTCCGAAGACATATCTGACATCTCTCTCAGCTATGCAGTACCATCCAATAAAAGATATTATCAAAAATCCTTTGCTTCTCATGTATTTTCTAGACCGTCATGACTGCAACGATGTACCCACCCTACTAAAGGTAGGTGTGGTAGTCGTATGGGATTCTCTAATGTGTTTAACTTATTTACGTGCAAAATTCAGATCAGAAAGTTACACACAGCATCAGCACAGAACATACCAAACAGATAAAAACTAGCTTATAGATATATCTAAAAAAGGAACTATTAATGGGGTCATTGAACCATGGAGTCATGGAGACCAACTGATTATGAGCTCCTAGTAGGAGACGGTGGCCAACAGTCATTGGATATACTAAGCAGAGGCTGGGACGTGGCATTTTTACTGTGCGTGGCATTAGTGAGATCATCATTGGAATATAATGTCCAGTTTTGGCACCTATGTTTTTAAAAGGATGTTGGTGACTTAGAGTTCAGAAAAGAGATGCCAGAATGAGTTGAAGTCAAGAAAAGCCATCTCACCATGGGAGACTAAAACAGCACTATCCATTTGGTTCGTCCAAAAGAAGTTTCAAAGGTAACTTAATCCCAATTTAACTACTGCAGCAGATGGAAGATTTCTGACAGCGAAAGACTCTTAGATTTGCAGACAAAGGCGTAACAAGATTTGTCAAAATCTAGACCAATCCAGACCAAAAATAAGGCACTGATTTTTTTAACAGGGAAGTCACTTGACTTATTGAGGGATGTGGCAGACTCCCTGCTACCTCCTGTCTTCTTATCAAGACCGTTGATTTATGTGAGAGAGACAATTTAGCTCAACCAAAAGTTATGGACTGGAGGCAGGAATCACCGGATGAAAGTCTGTGGCTGTGCTGTTAGTTAGATCATGACATCTCTTCTGACCTCACCAATTATGAATCTGTGACTAAGGTTTGAAAGGCAGACGCTGTGCTCAGGATTCAAAATACAAATGTGAGGGCATGTAGTATAGCATGGGCAGCAAGTATTGTTTTTCAGCTTTTTACTGATTTCCTTTTGCACAAACAGGAGTATTTTAGGACTATTTTTACTAATCATTTAAACGTACACAGTAATCATTAACATTCAGTCCCTGTAAATATTAAGTCAAATATCAATGTATAAAAGCAACAAAATACTTAGGTTATCATGTTTTCCCTGCATTCCTTAAAATTGGAGCTCCCGCACCTTCCCCACTTTGTGAGAGGTTTAAATAATAAGATACTTTAAACATTTCAGTGAACTATTCTTGGGGAGCATCTGCTTTGGAGGACTGCTCTTCTTCACATTTTAGTTTGTTCTCTGCTGTAGTTCCCAGGATTGCTTCAATGTCTCGAATTGCCATCTGTAACAGAGTCAAAGACTACAGGTTACTTAATGAGTATTACAGGGGAGTAAAACAGCCAAAAAAGCTCTGCTGCCTGCCAGCCTTTTCAAAATGCAATCAGTAACGCCCAGGACAGGAGGCACCAAGGGAGTTTTTCACTGCTACCATGGGATGCAAGGGAGTTATTTGAAAATGCAGGTACTCCTCACTTAACGTCATCCCGGTTAACGTTGTTCCATTATTACGTCCCAGATCTATTGGAGAACGTACTCGTTTAAAGTCGTGCAATGTTCAGTAATAACGTTGTCTGGCTGCTGCCTGCTAGTAGATAACTACTGTGACGTAACTGGATTTGCTTAACATCATTTTGCTTAAAGTCACATTTTTCAAGAATTATGACACTAAGCGAGGAGTAGCTGTAAATACAAGTCTCAGGTAAACAGGAAAACAAGATGGTCTCTCTCTTTTTTAATTAATTAAGCTGAATTTTATTTGACATATATAAATCATCCTTAATTGACTCTAAATAAAATGAAGTAAAAACCCCTCTTTACATTTGCAATATGGTTTTCTTTGTTTCGTTTGTTGCATGGTGTGGCAGGGCACTGTTGGTGCCTGCCACTTTAAGACCGGAGCCAAGCAGGCAGCAGGTGCATGATTGCAGCGTCCATTTTAGATCTCTGGCCGCCCAAATAAACAGGGCAGTTTGCTGCTGGCAGGGCAGGCAGTAACATCACCTGGCTGCAAGGCTCCATAACATCCCAGAGGTA